GTTTAACAAATAGTACAAAAATAAAAAGTATATAAATTACAAAACCATAGTAAATACTGTATAATAACATAGGCCTAACACATTTAAATTTATTGTTTATAGTCATCCAAAATCGTATTAAAAATATAATAACTTGATTATTTTTTACGTTTGGTTTGCAGCGTATTTCAATTAACTTATTCGTTATTTGTACTATTTTGTTAAATTATTTAATTAAATTATTTATTATATATCATTATATATAATAAATGATAAGAATGTATGGAGTTTTTTTTTTTTTACTATCTGGCAAGCCGACTGAATTAAACAGATGACTATAAACAATAAATTTAAATGTGTGAGGCCTATGTTATTATACAGTATTTACTATGGTTTTGTAATTTATATATTTTTATTTTTGTACTATTTGTTAAACTTATATATAATAAATGATAAGAATGTATGGAGTTTTTTTTTACTATCTGGCAAGCTGACGGAGCAAATACTCACAAAATTTAAATTAAAACGATAGAAAGAACAAGTAAATAAATTGAAATACGTCCCAATAAATATTTAATAAATCAGTGCAAAAACCGAGTTTTAAATAAATTGAAATAATTGAGTAAATAAACTGAAATAGGCCTACATCCCAAACAACAGTACCAAGAACGAATAAGTTAATTGAAATACGCCGCAATTAACGCACTACATTCACTGAGAGACGCGCTTGGCGTTCCATAGAAATGACCGGCGGCTCAACCGGTCATAATCCAGCCTTAGAAAGAGCCTGTATTGGATCAGCACTTCTATCCTATCTAGGCCTATTCTACGAATTCTCCCCTAGCCTAGCATAGGCCCTAGGGAGGGTGGCGCTATGCCTTTTTAGTACCTGTCAGAGAGTCTGGTAGTACTAGGCCTAGTAGGGCGCGGCCAGACAGCCTTGGTTGGCTAGCCTAGCCAAACATAAAGAAAGTCATACTATATAGCGATATTACAGGCCTTATTAAAGTTTCGTGTTTGTTAGTAAATACAGTAATCTAGTGGTACCCAATTCACTCCTTCCACCAACTTGCAGAAAGTTTCGTTGTACTTTAAACATAAAAATATTGCATCTCCTACTTTTACTTCAGTGGCAACTAGACTCCTTGCAATGTTTACGCTTTGGCCGTATTCGACTGGTCGTTCTTCGTTAAACCACGCCCACCTGCGCAGCGGTAAAACCCTACTCAACGAAGACGACCAGTCGAATAGAAAACTTGTAGATACTCGACAAAACAAAATGGCTGTAGTTACCGCGATACATGTTGCGTAATCAAGATTGCTTCAACTTGTGGTAGTATGGGTTTTTTCGTAAAAAAAATGTTTTCTTCCAGTTTTTGAATTCCGTGTGGATGTGGGCAAATATTATAATTTTTATTTTATGAAATTTAATCTAAGTTATATTAACGCAAATGTAGTTTATAACCCATCAATCTGCCATGTTTGGTTTGGTCACGTGGATAACTTGACTAAACCAAACATTTAACCATGGAGAAAATTTCCTCCATGATTTAACGAAATCATCACTGTCTCCTGATTTCATCAGTCTCCTGATTAAGTCCACTGTGTGGACGAAAGCTAGAGAATAAATTATATTGTTAGTCTCAAAAGTGCTTCTGTTATTTACTTTATGATTTAACGAACCAGTCGAATAATAATAATAATTTATTAGGAACTACACTTTTCAATCAGTGGCACACTTCTTAATCGAAGGTGCGTCCAAAACAAAATGTACAGTAAAGTTCACAAAAAAGACTTATGCTAAGAAAAAGATAATTCAAATTTTCAAAAGGGACATTAAGGAAAAGTAAAAAAAAAAAAAAAAAAAAAAAAAAAAAAAAAAAAAAAAAAAAAAAAAAAAAAAAAAAAAAAAACAAAGCAAAACAAAACTGTTCAGCCATATAAAATTAAAAGCAATCTTAAACTAAAAAAAACTTAAGGCAAAATAATGATGTAAACAATCACATGAACAATTATACAAACACCATACAAACCCAGTCAATGATTAATACAACGAAAACCACTACTCAACGAAATGAACCAGTCGAATAAGCCCAGTGTCAACGCCCCCGTTGGGGGCAGTAGACAGAGAAAACGCATTAATCAAAGATTATAGAGCGCCGCGCAGCGGCGCAAGATAGATAACTGGGATCGAAAAAGTGAAATCACCATGGGCGCCATGCGAGCAAGCAAATTGAACCAGCGAGTACCCGGAAGTGCATGTAAATAGGCGGCTATCGTTATGTAGGACAGTCATTGTTCTGCAATTAATTGCTGAAATCGGCAAAATATTGGCCCGGTTTATCATTCTTTAGATTTCCGAAGGATGCAAAGAGGTAAGAAAGTCAGCTTATCGTTGAAAATAATAAATAATGGAAGAATATCTGTGAAAAATAAATTATTGTAGCCTAGGCCTAGCCCCAGCGGCTAGCTAGCCTGTCTACGCTAGACTAGCTAGCTGGACTCTGGAGAGAGAGAGAGATAGGCTTAGGCCTAACAATAACTCCGAAGGGCCTAAAAGCAATACAGTCCTTAGCTACCTACTCTGTAGCCAGCAAGAAGTCTAGCCTGTGTAGGGGATAGGCGAGCCTAGGCTAGGTATATAGTATAATAGTGTATAATTCATACACTACTATTACTATTTTACTAGATTATCAATATATAAATTCTTTTTTTTCAAATAGATAAACCAAAATATGTTATGAATCTTAAAACATTTATTAACTTACACAAACCTAATAAAATCAACTGATTTTTTCGCAAACTCATCGCAGTAATAATGCCATTGAATTGTTTAAAATCACATTAATTAATTTGCAGCATGAAGACCTGATAATACAACACGATTATCACATATGATTGCATATATAATGTACATTTGTTTGATAAAACGAAATATATGCCATCTAAATCATTAATTATTAACTTACACGGGACTTACACAAACTTAATCAAATCCACTGTTGTTTTGGCAAACTAATGGCAGCATAATAATGCCCGGATTTTCTTAAAACCACATTAATTATTTGGCAACGTAGAAGAACTAACAAAAACACGAAATAATAGATACTGTAGCACCAAAAGATTAACCACACACACACCTGTCTCTTATACACATCTAGATGATTGTAGCACCCAATCGCAAGGGGTAACGATTGCGATATCGATTACATATCGACTGCTATTGGTGAGCTTTCACACACGAATTTACTTTGTGATTGGGTGTCGCAATTGCTACAACCGATCGCAATGCGTTGCTAGTCTGAATGGGGTATAACTGTGACCTTCTTGATGTTATTAAATGTTAGTATAATATCTACAACAACAACAGCTAGTATCCCCTTTTGTAAAGTGTAGATAGGTGCGGTACAGTCATACCAAAATCCGGCGTTATTGAACTTGGCCAAAGTGCTATCGTTAATGTAACTAATGTTAAATAATAATAATAATAATAATAATTTCAGCATTATTACCTTGGCCTAAGCCTAGTTGAAGAACCATACTATTTACTAGGCCTATAATTAATAACTAGCCCAACAAGGGGAATATCTTTTGTGTTATTTCCCCTTAATGTCGATTTTTTAATTGTTCTCTAATTCCTCCATTGTCTAAGTAATTCCCCTTAGGCCTACAGGTTGGTTTTAGTAACATAATAATAATAATTAATAATAATAATAATAATAAATAATAATTTAATAAAATAATCATTTCGGCATTACATGTAATTAATTTGGTCTAGCCTTGTAATCAAGAACCTGCAGATTACTATGCCTGATATTAATAACTAGGCTCATTTATACATTCATTGGAGTTTCATGTAAATGTTTCGTACGGGAAAAAGAATCGCGGCCCGTAGGCCTAGCTGGCTCACCATATGACGTCCGAGTTAAGGGTTATTGTATGGAACGCCGAGTGAGTGTACATGTAATTAATGCGTGAATTAGTTATCACATTATCATTGTTCCCCGAGTTGTTCGCCTATACAGACCCTATAATGAAGGGTTTGTGGCCATGACCTATACGACGTGTTGTTTTATTGTCTATTAATTATTTGACATAAGCATAATACAGACATTGATTATGATCATTAACCTCTGTTGTGTGTTATAACAGTATTATTGCTCGTTGAACTTTTATTCGGTTGGTGAATTCGCATTAGGTGATTCATCAATTGGCAGACACTGCACTCTTGTTCTGCACGAATGGGCATGTTTTGCCCTATCTAATGCAAGCGTAACCACGGAAACGTGTATTTCTATTGTTATCTTCTCTCAATGAAGGGCGTTTACAGTTAAAGTTCTTGATTTTAGGGCCATGTATTTCATGTTTTTTTTTTCTAAAATAGTACACAAAATCATTGAAAAAAAAACATTGTTGGTCGGCAGGCTGTCAGCGTCAGTCGGAAATTTTGAGTGCTGCTGGACGGGGCATCAATAATGTGATTTCTTGTGGCTTTTATATACTTTCTGCTTTAAATCAATCAATCATTTAAGAACATATAGGCCTAGAAATAGTATACAACGAAACATAAAGCTTCAAATACTGTAAGCTTTAATAATATTACGAAAAATATAATAAAATTTGGCAGTATATTAATATTATCAACATTCTTCTTTTCTTCGTCTTCTTCAATATATGCATCGACACTGTAATATGAAAATAATAAAATCCTTTGGTTTGATTATCAATATATAAATTCTTTTTTTTCAAATAGATAAACCAAAATATGTTATGAATCTTAAAACATTTATTAACTTACACAAACCTAATAAAATCAACTGATTTTTTCGCAAACTCATCGCAGTAATAATGCCATTGAATTGTTTAAAATCACATTAATTAATTTGCAGCATGAAGACCTGATAATACAACACGATTATCACATATGATTGCATATATAATGTACATTTGTTTGATAAAACGAAATATATGCCATCTAAATCATTAATTATTAACTTACACGGGACTTACACAAACTTAATCAAATCCACTGTTGTTTTGGCAAACTAATGGCAGCATAATAATGCCCGGATTTTCTTAAAACCACATTAATTATTTGGCAACGTAGAAGAACTAACAAAAACACGAAATAATAGATACTGTAGCACCAAAAGATTAACCACACACACACACACACACACACGTACAGCATGCATAGCTTTGCACCTACTTGGCGTTCCATATAAATATATCCCGGCCGAACCTGTTCACGGCCGAACCGGTCCTACACCGCCTCGCCTAGGGGCCTAGGCCTATACTATTAGGCCTAGCCAGGCCTAGGTAGCTATATAGTCAGAGTAGCCAGCCTCCTCCTCCACCTATCTTGGCTACCCTAGGCCCTGGGTAGCCGGCAACAATGTTAATTTTTTTACCTCAAATATTTCTCACAGTCACAGCATGTCATTAAAACGTTTTAATTAATACATGATTCAACCTACAGTAACAAACAACCGCTCACAATTACGAACAAACACGGGTAACCACAAGGTACTCTTTTTCAACCATAAAATACCTATATAAATACTGTGCTAAATAGCACTGTGCTAAATAGCACGATTTTTACACACTAAATTTTAAAGATTGCTTAACGTTACATTCTCATTTATATTTTGGCTTTTTATTAGATCCATTCTGTAAGTGTTGGATTTCCTACTGTTGTGTGGTTATTAGTATTATTGTTATATTTATTAGTATTATTCTAATAGTGAGTTTACAAGGCCCACTTATCATTATATATTAATTCTTGTATCCTGTAATATGCTCAATAGTGTCACTGTCAGGAATTTTTTATGTTCATAAAATGACGGCCATTGCCAGACTGAGTTGGACACACCATAGTAGCCTTAAACAGATACCGGCGTTTCATACATTTTAATTATTATTATTATTATTATTATTATTATTAAATGATGAAGCCACTGGCCGCCTTTCCTAGGTTTAATAACAATAGTAGTTCACAATTGTTTTGTTTCAGGATGCACAGGAATTTATGGTACCTCTGAAAGAATGTGTTGATATGGAGGAGCTTTTAAAAGAAGACAGTAAAGGATGCGAGTTTGAGATTGATGAAGATCAGCTACCACCTAGCAAGTTGCAATTTATTTACAGGGGCAGCATCAGTGGCGAGGGGGGGAGGGGGGTGGTAGGGTGTATTCCAACAATATTGTATTAATATCTTTTAATCTTTAATTATTTTAGATCTGCAAGGGGAAAATAACTTTTTTGATAATGAAGATATCTTTAAAAATTTGACCCGTGCCAGCCTGTTAAAAGGACATGATGATGATGCATCATCAGGAGATGATGATTTGGTAAGTTGAAATTTAGAAAAAAATAAAGGAATGGAAAAGCACTGAATCTTGAAAGTAAATGTTCAGTTAGTTATAACTTGAACTTACATATTCTGTGGTGAAAAAAATTGTAATTTAATATGTTAATTTGAAGGAACACAACCATTTAACTTGGCCATGAAAAAAAGAATTGTCTGACTCTCCAAGTTGCAGAGGCCAACAGTGACAAAAATATTTAGAACACTTCCATACTAACCCTATAGAGAGAGCAGCTAGCTCAGTCGGCTAATCTGGTGGTAGCCCCTGTGTGTGCGCTGAACCGTGGAGATCTTTAGGTCCCGATTCAATTCCCATCGCTGCCTCTCCTTGTGTTTCAGCTAGAGGGCTGAAATACAAGTTACAATAGCACACCGTCTTTCGGATGAGACGTTTAAACCGTTGGTCCCGTGTGCATTATGGCCCATGTGCACGTTAAAGAACGCAGTACACTCTTCGGAGAGTAGGGGATTATCTGCCGGTGTACTGCCCAATCACCACCAGAAGGACCCCAATGGAAATAAGTCTTCTTCTAGAATTTCGTGGGCTATCCTTGGTGTTTACAACCGAATAAATCCAATCCAATCTAAAGGAAATATATCGCAATATACCAGATATGCTTCTATGAATAATGTTGCATCATTCCAACATACTTTTATTATGTGTAGAATCATAATCATGGAGCGTTCTTGGAAAAATATAAACCTGTATTCACCTTATATATTGAAAATGTTCTATATTTTTAATTTCACCAGCTTATATCTGTATTTGATATATTTTAAATGTATCAATATTGTAAATTTCTCCTAATCCAGTTTTATCTACCATGAAAAATAAAATTATCTTGAATCCTTTTTGTTTCAGTCTTTTGACAAAGTTGGTCTGAAAATGGAAGACATCACTAAAGATGGTGGAGTTAAGAAAAAGATCATCAAACAAGGAACAGGGGAGATCGTAACATCTGGAGTCTCAGTTAGGGGTTCGTCAAAGTTTTTTTAAACAAATCTTTTTCGTGTTTATCAGGAAATGCACAAAATTTGTTGATGACATTTTGTTGTGAAATAAAACCCTATAAATAGAGGTGTTTCATTTTTTAATATTAGCTTATTTTGATTGCTTTTCAGTTCACTACAATGGATTCTTAGAATTTTCAGATGAGCCGTATGATTCAAGTCGTTTGAGAAATAAACCACAACACTTCAAGTTAGGAGAAGGTAACAATAACTTCCTCCTCATCTGCAATTGGTTATGTTCATGTGATACTTTTAATGTATGATGACTTTTTACCATGATGGAGCTGAAATGTGTGTGGATTCTCAAGACAACAGCACTCCTTATTTACCAGTTATAGGATTAGTACCTTTGGGTTGCCTTAAAGTGGGGAATCTAAAAAATGGTTTCCCACCTCGAAAAGTTTGAGAACCAGATATTTAGACAATGTATTATATCACATTTGTAATTTATATGATGCTATCATTTTTTATGACAATTAGTATAGTTGCAAATCATACACTGGTAGAAATTATTATTTGAAGGTTAGATCAATGCATAACAAAATTTCCTGAGGGCCTTCCTAGATTATTCATCGTGGCTCGTGATACATTTAACAAGTTGTTTTGACCCCTTGCACATGAACCAGAAACAGGTCAATCAATCTGTGCACTATTAAAAAATTAGTGCATGGTTTGGGATAGGAAAATAACATTGGGAGTTGATTTTGGTATATTTTTGGTATGTATTAATGGCAGGTGAAGTGATCCCAGGCATGGATATTGCTGTATCCACTATGAAGAAAGGGGAAATGTCCCAGTTTCTTATACAGTCAGCCTATGCATTTGGAAAGAAGGGAGTGCCACCAAGAATACCAGAGGATGCAACAAGTAAAAAACATTTCCTTATTGATAATCATATGTTTCTAATGTCAGTGGGATTTAAATGTGACCCACTCTAGCAAAAATGAAAAATGACATTATTAGATCTTTGTAATCCAAAAGCTAATAATCGATGCAAAAATTGATAAAAATTCGCTAAATACAATATGATAAGATACGATAAAATTTAGTGTAACAACGGTATAAATACAGCTATGAGATATGAAATGGCAAATATATGACAATTAATATTTTTAGTCCAACATGCATTAACACGGTTTAAATACATGTGAATTTTAGCTGATTTGACCTTGGTTTTGTTTGGTTTTTTGTAGATTTGATTGACATAATTGCTGAAATGTTTGTGAATTTAACTGAAATAATTTCTAACAATCTTATTTGTCAGTATTGTTTGAGATTGAATTGCTGCACTTCACGGATGATTGTATAACTGATAATCCAGGTAAAGATGCAGATTGGAAAGAGGTTCTTAAAGTTGTGAACAGTCACAGACAAGTATGTTCATCTCTGCCAAATGGAGGTTATTTATTCACCCCATTTTTCTGTCTTTCTGTCTGTTAGCATGATTACACAAAAACTAAGAAATGGATCATCATAAAAATTAGTGGAATAAAACATAATAATCTATGAAAGGGATGATTACCTTTTGATAAGAAAAGGTCAAAGGTCACAGACATTTCAAATGGGACATTCAAAAATAGGGAGATTTTTTTCGTGAAGCGATCGCCTCCTGTAGCGACGCGCTGTAACCCTTACGACGCGCTGTGCAATATGAAAGTATTACACAAAATGAAGAAAACAAACAAATTTCATTAATTTGTTTACTTTTATTTAACAATTTTACATTTGTTTCCACATTGCAGTTGGCCTATATAAATTTATAAATATTATTATTTATTTAGAATTTTGCTAGTAAAGCATTCTTGGCAGCAGTCAACAAGGCTTTGCTTGGTTCATAGGCATATTAGAGGCTATGTCTGATTTACTACATCTCTTCAAAGAACATTGAATTCTAGCAAGGTAACTGCAACTTGCAAGATGCACACGTTTGCTGAAAAATTAAAAAATAAATATATATTTTAATTTAGTTAGTAAATCATACTACATGTTTTAAGTCAGCATTTATATATGTCTAGCCTATACTAATTCGTACATAATGCCATGAAAAAACATTAAATCCTGCCTCGCTAGGCTCCATCTGTACGTGCGTAACTAGGCCTAAGAGTCACGACCACCACTACACACAGACGCCCACTCAACACAACACACATACCCTGCAGTGCAGATAGAGCCTAGGCTTACATGTATTTCAGGATTGATATTAAAATAAACTTCATTTTTCGGAAGACTACTTACTTAGTACCAAAACCTACTAACTATGATTTTTTT